TGTGCCCTGCCACACCGGGTTCCAACGCTGCTTTGCAGAGGCAGCGAGGGCAGCACAGAGGGGAGCATTGCTGGTATCTGCTAACTCCCCGGAGCCAGGGGTGGAGAGGCAACAGATGTTTACAGCTGGCCCAGGTTCTGTGTAGCTGCTGACAGCCACAGAGCCCAGGCTGGGGGGCAGGGGCAGCAGGGCTGGGAGGCACAGGGCACAAGCAGGGCATCCTGCCATGTACCCCCTGCCCTCATTTTCTGTTTCTGGCATGCTGGCACTCCGGCACCTTCCAAGGTAGGCATTGTGGGGGTTTTTGGCACTCTGGCCAAAAAACATTGCCTACCCCTGTTCTAGACACATACTGGACTAGATATTAAGATGAACATAAGCCTTAATGGTACAAAAGACATCCCATAACTTAGACCAAGCATTTGTTCCATCACAAAAAAGCAGCAGCCACTGAAGTTTGCACAAGAAAACCATCAAAATCTTGCCCAAAATCTAAAACTGTTCTCAAAAAACTTTAGATAATCAACACTTTGAATGATGGTTAAGCAGCCTGATTACACTTTGCGACTCCAATGGATACTGTAGCACGAGTCACATATTCAGATATCTCCTCTGTTCTTGTAAGATGTGCTTCAGAAAAAGCGTTAAGAAACAGATTGTAAAAAATCATCCTCATTTTCCTCAGAACAGATTGTCCACATCTGAAACAACCTAACAGAACTGTAAAAGCAAAAGCCCAAAAACACAAAGACCTTCTTCAATTCAGTCAGCCCAATCAGACAAGCAGTAGTACTGCTAGTACTAAGAACCAGTTCTTCCAGTTCTGATCTATACCCTTTCTAGATTGGGCCAGAGTTAGGCTGCTTACAAATGTTAAAAAAAAAAAAAAAAAAAAATGGTGTTTTACTTTAAACTTTGAATGATCCCATGCCGAGCCCAGCGCATGCCGAGAAAAAGTGTTGCATTAGTGGGACCCAGCTCTCCCAACGTCTGCATAGATCAGGTGCTTTAGTGGAGAGGGGTTGGCACTTTTATCTAATAGCTGATTCAATCAGTTATTAAATACAAAGGCCTAAAAGGCCTGGCTAAAGCGCCAAATCTATGCAGACACTGCAGAGCCGAGTCCAAATAACATGCACTGCTTCTGCCAGTAAAGCACCATTTTTAGTTTGGGGGGGGGGGGTTAAGTCTGTAAGCAGCCAAACTCTTTCCTCTGAAAAAGAAGGTCCATATTCTATAACATGCTGATCAATAATAAACAAACCAATGTGCTGCACTGGCAACTTCCCTAATGCCAAGCCATAGCCTTACATTCTAAAGCATCCTAACTGAAAACTTGATTAAAATAGTCTTCAGTGATACCCCTTGGATGCCAATGTGCAAGATACTTCCCAATCAGGATGCAGATCAGGAAATGAGGCAAAGAAAGCAGACATGACCTCTATCTGTCCATAAAAACAAAGAGCATACACATCTTCATCCTGCTGA